ATTTTCTTGGTAAACATGACGTTTTTATCTTTATTACCAATTTATATAAGATTGTACTTTCCTTCTCCTTGCTATCATTTTTGAATCATTTTGTAACCTGTAAAGCAACTTCTTAGAAGTATTGTCCTGTTTTTATTTATAGTTTTTGCGTGATAGACTTACAAATGTAAAGTCGTTTTCATAGTCACTAAACAACGTCCACGTGGTGTGGTGTGATGTTCGTCATCCCAAAGTACAATGGTGTGATATCCATCGTTATCTGACTTGTGATGTTCGGTGATACGTGCAAATGTAACTGTATTGTGACATTCGTTATTTCTTAGTACAATAATCCTGACATCCACACTTATCAGAGTACAGCTATCATAGTTATCGTATCACCAGAAAGTACATCTATCATAGTTATCGTATCACCAGAGAGTGCAGCTTAGCTTGACATTCACCATTAACAGAGTGCAGTTATAGTGGTGATCGTTATTACCAGAGTGTAACTATTGTGGTGATAGTTATTACCGAAGTGCAGCGAACAGTGACATTGATCATTATCAGAGTGCAGATATATTGATGTTCGCCATTACCAGAATGAAGCTAACTGTGACAGGCATCAATATCCGAGTGTCCAGCTACCGTAGCGATCGTCATTGGCGTATAAGCTTATTGCAGCTGTAGTGGTATTCCTTAGCTACGAACTTTACAGAGTATAGATCAGTGTATCATTATACCTTTATATCTTACCAAATTGTAAAATGTTTTAATACGTTATTCTATAAAATTAATAGATCATAATATTGTGCTCCTGTAATTTTGCCTTTTGTGATATTTATCAAAACATGAACTTGACAACTTGACAAGTAGTAGTCTCATACATTAAGATTCATGGATAATTTGAGATAAAAAATTTAGCACTTTTGCATTTTACATGTACTTTTCTTTTTGGAGAAACATGTTGAAAATGTCTCAGATTTTTACAGTTTCCACAATTCGGGCTTGAACTCAAAACCAAAAAATTTTATTTGGTTGAATTATTTGGTGGGCCCATATGATGGAAGGAAAACATTTATTTGCAACTACTGTAACTAGCATACTGTCTGCTATGAAGTAAAATTATGACAACAAAAAAGCCAAAATGAGGCAAAAGTAGTAGCTGGGACTGATGGTGTAAATTACCAGCATGAAGACTGATTAAATGTTTAATAAAAATGGCAGTTTTTATTTGTCATTGTAATTTCACACCATTTTAAACAGGAAATGAGGTCATTGACTAAGTACCTACCCTGTTTCATCCAGAATTGCTATTGTTTGTTTACTGAACCCACAGCGTGGGGTTTCTGGATCTCCCTTCATAAATAGCACCACATCACTCTGGTTGATAAGAGATTTTAACCTGAAAAAGAATTACAGACCAACTGGCTAAACTTGTTTTATGGAACATCGGCCATGTTACTTCCCTACACATGCTCCTAAATCAGATTGTCAAGTTCAACGTTAACAGGTTATGCCCTGGAATATGGAGAAGATTTTATCCCTTCAAACTATCAATGGCCATTTGGAATGTTGGACTGCACCTAAAATTGATTTTTAGAAAATGGCAAATATACAGTTATATTTTCCCAAATTTTCACACTAAAAAGTAACACTTGTTCTTTCACTTGAAAAAGGTTTCAAAAGATCTGAATGAGATTTATTCATTATACAATATACTATACCTATCATTTAGTGATTCTTGTTTTGGCATGCTTTCCAATAAAGAGCCAGATTCTGCCATTTCCTTGATTATATCAAGTCCCCCTATCAGCTCTCCATTCACATATACCTGGGGATAGGTAGGCCAATCTGAGAATTTCTTTAAACCTAAAAAAATAAATTGAATGTCTCTCTCATAACAAAAGTAAACCTATAAAAATAGGGAATATCAAATATTACAAATGATCAATTTATTTCTAAATGTGTATACATAAAGTGCCAAAGGAAAAATACCAAAAACTTACAAAACAGAGTAAGTGTATATTCAACTCCCTATTTGTTAAAACGCATGGCAAATGTTTTGTAAAAAAAAGTCCTTATGACCCAACTTTTCAACATCACATTAATTAAACTAATTCATGATTTTCTCTACATTTTAAAATAACCAATTGTACCTTGTCTGACTTCTTCATCTTCCAATATGTTGAAGCTGCTAAATTTGATGCTATTATCTCTTAGAATCTGCATTAACGTCTTACTGAAGCCACACCTAGGCTGGTCTGGAACTCCCTTCATGAACACCATACATGGGGCACTATTTATCAGAGTTTTCAGTCTTGTATTAAGGTCCTACATAAAAGCAAAACTTTCAGATCTAACCATAACCATCATACAAAAATGTTACATTTTACACCCTTAGTTGGTTAACATAGCTACTAATAATGGACCAGGCAGAGGGGAGGATGTGATGAGTTATTTTTCTATTAATTACTCATAACTTGCTTGATATCATCAACTTTTTGTGTCAATTTTATGATGCCTTGGTATGTTTGGAAGCTGCTCAAGTTTTTATAGATTTTTAGACAAAGTAAAAGTCTTAACTATTCATTTAGGGTTTGTTTCAGCTAGTCCCTTAAGAAAAAAGCCATGGTAACCATGGTATTCCATGGTGCGCCCATGGTAATCCATGGTTTTCCATGGAAATTCATGGTTTTCCATGTTATTTTCCATGGAAATTCATGGACGCCCATGGTAATCTTCCATGGATGTTTACCATGATTTTCAGTGGTAATTGTTGGTTTGGTAATTGGTTTTTAATGGATGTGTCATGGAGATGTAGTCATATAAATCTGACCCTCGTATGATGTTATTTGTTGTTATTTTTTCTGATTTGGATATTTATTTTTTCTGATTTTCTTGCATACAAGGGTCATACACACTCCGCGCATCTAAATTGCGGGAAATGCTTTCCTGGCCTGTCTACCCAACCAAATTCACACAAATGATAAATAAATGTCTTTGCTTCAACTATAAAGTATTTAATCTTACCTTAGACACGTAAAACGCTTGGAAATTGAAGAAATATAAGCATGCCGCTTGAATTTTAAAATTTTTTCATTTTGCCATGCCAAGGTCACTTCCGGGTTAATCTGAGTCTAGATGTAAAACTATATCAAACGAAATCATAAGTACTTGTTACACGAAGATTCAGTTGAAAGGGAAGCAGTGTCGTTAAGAAGGGAAGTTATTTGAAAAAGTTATTGTTTCAAAATGAGAAAAGTAATAAGTATAAGAGAACGGCTTTGGAATCGATCTCTGTGTAATAAATAATTATGATTCCGTTTCGATACATGTTTTACATTTAGACTACCGGAAACAGCATTCAGCAACATGGCGGGCGATAATGAAAATATAATTCAATTGATCATATTTCGTCAATTATCAAGCGTTTTACATGTCTAAGGTAAGATTTAACACTTTAATGTTGGAACTAAATAATTACTCGATAATTTGTGTGACTTTGGTTAGTATGGTAACTATGGTTACCGAGACAGGCCAGAAAAGCGTTTACCGCAATTTGTTCCATATAATATCTACGACGGTGTATGCAAAGAAAATGATAAAAAATAAATATCCAAATAAGAACAAGGAATATCGAAGAACAGCATACAACGGTCGGATTTATATGACTATGGAGATGTAAAATCAACAATTTTGGTAGGATTTGTATTTACCAAAATCTCCAAAATGAATGTTTTGATGATATATCCCAGTTAGACTGAGACTTATCATTGAGAAAAAAGGGTGGACATTTCATTTTGAAGGTTTAGCAAGAACATTCATCGAATGTTAGACTCAGCTTACAAATGAGAAAATATGTGAAACAGCAGAGCAGAGAGTAGGCCACAAGATTTCAAAAACAATTGTGCAAAGGTCTTTTGTGTAGATCAAGACTAGATAGAGATTGCTTATTTTTTAGGCCAAACACTTCTTTCCTTTGAAAAAGATTAAGTCAAACTAGCCCAAGCTCTGTTTTATTTCAATACTTTCTTAAATTTTCAGTTTTAAAAATCAATATGAAGTAATTTAAGAAATAAATAACTCATTTTCTTAAATTACATTTCGTACATTTAAGAATACAATCAAAAACCATGGTTTCTTTCTTTGAAGTTGAGAAAACTGCAATCAAAAGCCATGGAAGACGGTTGATTGCAATCGAAAGCCATGCTTTTCCATGGTTATTTCTTTGATGTTTTGGAAAGTGCAATCAAAAGCCATGGTTTTCCATGATTATTCTTTTGATCTTTTGAAAGTCCATGGTTTTCCATGGGCTATTTGTTTGGTCTTTTGGAAGCAGAAAAATGAATAATACATTATGTTTCTAAATGAACGTCTCCAAATTAAGTCCCATTCAACTTTTATAAGCATATTATCTGAAAAAATCCACAGAAAAGTATATACTTTTACAGAATTTTGAATTGAGATGGGGGATTAAACACAAGCCTATGGCTGCAAACTGAAATGTTATACCTAAGTGATAAAAATTCAATTTGTCTATGTAAGAATATTATATTTAAAAAGAAGTTGCATGAAGGAAGGGGAGGGGGTTAATAACACCATTTGGCTTAAAACATGAAACATAGTATAAGTAATTAAAATTGATTTGTCTTTGAATAGGAATAAATAATCATTTGCATAATTTTTATTTGGTTGCCATTATTCTATGTTAATTAATAATTAGGTGTCTTAACTCTCAAATTAATGTCAAAAGATTAATCTCTTTACAACAGATTATAAGAGTTCATTTGCATAATTCTTAAATATTCTGATCTTAATTGTTATTATATATGATAATCTTACTCTTTCTAATGCTCCCTCTTCAGTAATTATTATTGTCTGTGAGTGTAGACAGTGCAAGTCAAAAACTCATTGTTGATCAAATAAAACCAAATAGGATTTACTCCAAGTAAAAATGTTTATTCAGTCTGCAATAAGGGAATCCAGTGAGCTGATTTTATCACTTATTTTGTCTTTTTTTTACATAAGTGCCAAAGTTAAATGATAGCAAATCCCAGCAAACAAATTATTACTTTTAATTGTGGGGTCAAATCATCAATTAAAAAAATATTAAGTAAACAGTTCTTTGTCATATGACACTATGTACAGAATGTACTAAACATATATTCAGATTGTAAAAACATGGTTGTATTTCAGGCCTGAAACCAGCTTTTGTCAAGAAGGTTGACTTTCTCAAGGATTTTGGGGTGGGGGGTGTCATATTCTTTTATCTATGATGAATGAGACTAATTCTCAATCCAGCTTGGATTGATTCGTTAAAATATTGATTCAATTTTGAAGATTTTGGTAAAAACAAAACCTGCCAAAATTGTTGATTTTACAACTCAAGTGTCATGGTAAAAACATGGCTTGTTCATGAAAAAACAATTACCAAACCACCAATTACCACGGAAAATCATGGTAAATATCCATGGAAGATTACCATGGGTATCCATGAATTTCCATGGAAAATACCATGAAAAACCATGAATTTCCATGGAAAACCATGGATTAACATGGATGCACCATGGAATACCATGGTTACCATGGCTTTTTTCTTAAAAAATACTATCATGAGCTACATACACCAAGAGTGCATAATATTTTACATATATTTACCAAGTGAAATACATCTTTCAATACCAATAAGATCGTAAGAAAGGATTGGTAACAATATGGCGAACTGAATTCAACATGGTTTTTCTCTCAAACCAATTATTGAAACATTCTGTAAATAACAATATGTCAGCACTTTTTGGTGGTGACATAAAAAACACAGTCTTTTATGCAATAGTCACTGATTGATAACAATTTAATGAAAAAATTATTTATATATATATTATATATTATTGTTTTTGTGAACAATTTTTGGTTTTTAGTGCAATTGTTTTTGTTCCTTTCTAAGGATTCTTAAAAATGAAATAAAAGATCCTTCGGAACCTTAATGGAACAAAGTAGCATATTCAACATTTTCTTAGACCTCTCAAAAATAAAGTTATACAAAGGAAAATTTGGCTGATTAAACAAAAAAAGTATTCAAAAATTTAAAACAAAAACCTTAAAACCTTTTATTTCATTAACGAGATACTTTTGTTAAATGAACCATCCTTTGTACAATTACAATATTGAGAGACCTAAACATGTTGTGTATATTTCATTTTGTTCCAATGAGGTTCGGATAGATGTTCCATTTCATTCCGAACATATGATACAGAGAACAAAAGAAGTGTCTGATATGTTTTCTAAAACAATATAGAGAAAAGGATGTTTTTTTCAAATCAAATTGTTACCATTCAAATGATAATCATTAAATTGATGGTGTGCAAAATTTTCAGAATTTTTTAATGACTGGTTTAAAAATAAGAGAAACATGCATTCAATTCAGTTTGCCATATCGATACCAATTCTTTGACTGTCATGTTTAATATACACATATGTACATACAAACTGACACAGCATGATTAAAATATGAAAACATAATAACCTTTCGAGGGAAGAGATAACAAAATTAGGCTTCTTTTTTCTTATATTCTCAATATTAGTCTAATTATTTAATTAAATATAAAAAAATATGAATATGGTCATATTTAATTTTCTGTACAGGCTTCTTTGAAACAGATGAGGTAAGATATGTTTTACATTGAATTTATTTTACCTAGCCTTATAGAACCAGTATGTGTAACTTGGATTTTGGATTTCACTTGTTCACTCTTCAAACTAAAATGTTTAGCCCAAGAGTAATTAATTGCAGCGAGCTGCTATGAAAGCAGTGAAGAAACGATCGTGATGGATGCGTTTAGCAAATCATATCTCATTTATTTCGAAGGTTCATGCAGCATTATCAGCTGTGATTCTAGCGTTGATAGAATTATATATAGACTGCCCTTTTAACTGTGAATAGATCATAGAATACCTGTACAGGTGCTGCAGGCTGTGAGGGCAGAGTTATTGTAGAATTGGCATGTTTCTCAACCTTCTTGCTTAGTTCAGGAGCATCAGCACCATCCAATCTGTCCACCTCTGTTGTATTCTACAATGATGAAGAAGAATTAACTTAACATATGTTATAAGGGCATTGGGGAGGGGCTGGGTACAGGATGGGTGGTTGTATTTCAAATACCATTTTCAGTAATATAAGGCCAAGGAGTACTTGTATTTCGTTTTCCATTCCATATATTTTTGGCCTTCCTATAGGAAATCCCTCTACATTCTTTTACGTTCCCCAATCATTATTTTGTCAAAATACTTCAAAAGTCGTGAAATATTAGAATAAATACCCACAGAAGGAATTTTGAGTTAAAGTTTTGTTGATAATAATACACCCAATGCAACCAATCAGGTTCTCTGGATTTCCCAATTTTGTGGCGCGACCATGGGAGATGAGAACAAATCGTGCCAATCATTTTATGTGAAATCGCCACCTTACGACAGAAGCTGGGATTAAGATTTACCAGCCCAAGTGGCATGATGAAGACTAGCATGGGCATGGCATATGATGAATACCTAACTGGCTTTCAAACAACTTGTACTCTTATGAGGCATATACGTATAAAATATAAACGATCTTGGGCCAATGGTAAATGAGTTATTGCCCAGAGAAATTGCATGGACAAACGGAGTCATTCTCTATATCCCACAAACTTTGTCCGTTGAGGATAATAATAAACATGTTCATTACCTTGATAAAGATAAAAGTTGGTACTGCAGCAATGTTGAACTTTTGTGAGATTTCTGGGTAAGTCTCTGCTTCAACCTAAATTTTGAAAATATACAAATTGGATTGCATCATTAGTCAGCTTGAAAACATGAACGTGAGAGAATACACATATACAGTAGTGTCTAAAAATATGCTTTTAATGATGATGATTACTTTTTATGAGGCAAAAATCTAGATTCTTAATCTTTTTATTTGGGGTCACTCACTGAGTATCAACACTAAATCTCACCTTGGTAAACGCAACATTTTGAAACTTCTCTTCTGCTGCTATTGTGGACAAAACTTCATTCATGTGGACGCACTGTTTGGACCAGCTTGCCCAAAAATGGACAACAAGCAATTGACTGAAATCAAAAATTGCATTTACTCTGCTGCATGGTCAAAGTATTTATTAGTGCCGTAGTGACTGGGCTTAAATGTACTTGAAAGTCGTAATTTACTTGAGTCTCGAGCTTACAGCTAGATTCATTGATCTCGTCGTAATCTCGAAAAAGTGTCACAGGCACCTAGAACTCCTATTTAATAATTTTCTTAAATATTTTTAAGAATATTAATCAAAATTTAAGGATCCGCCATTTATACAGCTCACTCAGCAGAAAAATGGAGGCCATTTTGAAGTGAAATTCCACTTAGCTAAATCAAAATGTATATAACAATTGATTATGACGGGGATATGAGCTGATATTCTGCAAATGTATGCATAAAGGTATGCATAGGGGGGGGGGGGGGGTAGGTGTGAATATTTTCGAAACAAATGCGTGATATATACACATATTTTGTACCAAATGCGTGACATAAACGGCAATTGCGTGCAAAGACCGAACGGAATGCGTTTTTTTTGCTGTTCGGTATTCACCGTGTCGGCATTTCACAAAAATAGATTTTTAAAAATTTCAACAAAATGCGTGATTTGCGTGATATTTGATCATACACGCTAAATTGATGCGTGATTTCTATTTTTCCAGCAAATGCGTGACAATCACATCTAATGCGTGAGGGTTGACAGGGCAGCCTAAGTAAGTCGTAATGGTTCCTATCAAATTTAATGCGAATATTGAAACAATGTTTTGTCTCAGTTGATTCTCAGTACTCTAAACATTACTTTTTCTGACAAGTTACAAAGAAATATGAAAGCATATTATCAGAGGCTATCATGAATTAAGTTAGTCTCTACATTATGGTGACATGTTACATTCCATTCGATGAACAATTCTCTGAGCAAAGATCCTATTTATTCAACTTTTTGTGGTAAACTGTTATTTGCAAAGCTCTGTAGTATAGATCATCAGATCTGAAGTTTACAAATTGTGCTTAAATTACGAATTAAACTAGTATTTTTGTGAAGAAGTCAAGCCTTCTATCAAACTAGCAGATCAAAACCTCATATCATTTGGTGAAATTCTAGTCCAACCCATTACTTGTTCTCAAGACATTGCTCGAAACTCTCCTTCGATTTTAGACACAATTTTAGAAACCCTCTTACCTCTTTACTATATTATGAAAAGGAAAATCGATTGTACGACTATCTAGACTACCGCAGCGTTTTCATCTTAATGTAAACCTAACTGAAGCATGTCTTGTATATGAGAATGTCATCACTTTTAGACAGGATTTTTGAACATTTATTTACAATAACGATAATGTACGGTATCTTACATGTATATCTTTGAGATTTTACCAAAGTATACTTTGGTGCTCTCATTTTGACTCAACTAATATGAATCAACAAAAAAGGATTTTTACTGTAGAATGACAAATATGTTAATTAACTTTCATAATTATACTGCTTCCTAAAGCTCTTCCAAATTGTTTCAAACATCAACAGTCAGAGCCAATTAGTAAAACATGACTATCACACCCATAGCACTGGCGGATATGGGGGGGGGGGGCCCAGGGGCCCGGGCCCCCCCCCTTGGGTGGGCCCAGAAAAAAAAAAGTGCCCAAAAAAAATTTTGAGCCAAAAAAGGCTTTAAGGCCCCAAAAAGTAGGCCTTTTTGGTCATAAATTGGCCTTGTAAGGCCTTATTTGTTAATTTTAGGCCAAATTTTGAAGAAAATGGGCCTCAAAATTTCAAATTTTGGGCCCACTTTTGGGTTTTTGGGGCCCAAATTTTTTTTCCACGCAAGCGCGGAAGTTTTTTTATCAGACCACAAGTTTGGGCCCCCCCCTTGTTGGTTCCCAGATCCGCCCCTGCATAGAATGGTAGACACGAAACAAGTAACACATACCTCTTATTCGCATTATATCAAATTGTTACGACAGGTGGAAATTTCTACTCACCATTTTTCTTAATCCAGAGTGTTTCCTTGATTTGATTCGGTAATGAAATGCTCCAGTGTGAATGTAGGAGTATTATACGCAGTGGGAATGGTATACTTTGAAAGTTTGATTTTTTACTTCAGAGATATTGATATGAACATAAAAATAAATGTGATATTAGAAAATAGATAAATTTTGAAACAGACCTAATGAGTTGAAAATTTTGAGCCAACATTATTTGATTGAAATTTCAAAATTTGAAGATATGCCAATTTTTTTTTTCTAAGATGTATAAATAATATACATACTATGTCCTGATCTCATGTCATTTACAGAAAAGCCAGCTAGAAATGGTACACCATTTTCGGGAGACTCTTGAACAATGCAGCTTTTTACATGATACATACCATGTTTATATATCAAAACAAAGGTAATTGATATGAAAATATATGTTACAATAATATTCAAAGAACTCCACTGAATTTTAAAGTACTCATTTTCACCATGTAAAACGTTGTATTTAGTGATTTCAAAATATAGTAATTTGGTCATAACTTTTTTGTTCCTCATCCAATTTATGTTAAATTCGGTATGGGGCAACATTTGGCGAAGGTAATTTATGACGTAATGACATCTTGTGACATCAGCAACGCACATCCGCCATCTTGGATGCCCAAGAAATAGTAAAAATGTGTAAAACTCAAAAAGACAAACAAAAACAGAACCTCGGGCCCTTCTTATCTTTTTGAAAATCAAAACCATTCTACCCATAAACTACAATTTAACGTTAAAAATATATGTTTTGTATTTATATTGTTTACATATAGCAAGCATTTTACGACTTGTGTCTGTTTTTACAAGAAAAAAAAACTGATAGAAATATGGCGGGTTACAAGGATTCCATTTCAATATACAAAATTATGTCTTTCTAGTGAGATTCCACTAGATTTTTTATAATTCCGGAACTAACTAGGAAATCGTTCATTTTCACGGTCAATAATTTACCTCTCGGATATTGTGCTACAGTTGGGGACATAAATAAATGACAGGTGGATTTGCTGAAGTGAGGATTTCCCATGTTAAAAATAAGAGAATTTACAAGAGGCCATAAATCAGTGGATGAGATTATACAAAATGTAAAATATACAAATTTTAAGGGGTCTTCAAAATGGCGCATCTGAATTTTTTTCTGTAGCAAGATATATATCGCAAGATTACCGTCCAGTCACTATACCATCACAAAACAACACTGCACAGAGGTGGATAAGTATATACTTTATCTACAAATTTGAAAATATAGTACATTTTAGCCCTATATTGAGGTCAAATACGATTATACCGGTACTTCCGGTGAAATTTTGAAAATTTTATTTTTGAAAAAAGTTGAAATAGTAGTTTGAAAATTGTTTTTTCTCGATGTTCTAGATTATTCTCACTAATAGGTTTCAAAATTTCAATTTTAATTGATTGATCTTTCAAATTAGATCGGTATTTTATTTATTTTTTGATATATTGGACAGATAGATATTATACTAGATTAGATAGTCCTATATGGATAATGTAGCCTACATGTAGATAGATTTAGGTTTATAAATTTAGGTGATCCTTCTGAATAGATGGTTTTATATTAGATAGATGTTGTAGTCTGCAATACATTAGTGATTAGTTAGTTAGGCCTACTGTATTATATTGTCATTAGAAGTTTGTAATCTTGGTGGAGGTTCATTTCTACCTCAACTTATATATACACATTTCATATTTCCAATATTTCCAAATCACCTCTTTAGCTTTTAATCCATCCCTGAATAGGTTTAGCAGTTTCCTTATCCTTGTCAGGTAGCGTAATATCTTTTTGATTCAGGGATTTCTTGATATAACACTTCTGCCTAGGTGTCTTGTGAATTTCATATCCCTCTAAGGGGAGAAACAGCACAGGCACATATCCTAACAATACTAAATCTATTTCTTTTCTTTTTTTTTTTTTTCCCCCCATTCTGCACGAACCGACGCCATATTACTGTACTTTCAAAAACTGTAGTTCTAAACAAACTGATACTATTTTTCTGATCTGATTTATGACCATAAAATGTCTAGGGAACGGCACAAAAGTATGGTTGGATCTCTTGTTCAATCTCTTACTGATTTCGCAACAAGTACCCTTGTCCCTGGAAGTGTTGATAATTTAGACCGTGAGCAAGAACCTCCATTCTTCGATAGTCAAAGCTCCTGTGATAAACCCATCACACTTCCTATTGTAAAAATGTCCCAAAACGTAGCAAATTCGCCAGAATCAAACCCAGAGCAAAATGACAGGAACATAGGGAAATATCAGTCCTCACAAGAAACCACAATTCAAAAGGAACCAGAAAAGAACGCAAGTAAATGTGAATACTGCCAAAAGAACGCAAGCATGTTAGAATGCGAATATTGTCGGAAATGGTCATGTTTAAAATGCCAAAATGTGCCCAAACCAATGTGGAAAGCTATCCACAACCATCAGGATCTTCACTGGTACTGCCGCACATGTGAACCCATAGTAGAAAATAAACTTTCAACCGACGGAAAAAATGACCATGAGCTAGATTGTATAATGCCATTGCTAAAAGAGCAACTAGCCAATATAACAAGCAACCTAGATGAGTGTTTTAGAAAGCAAAATCTAGCCATATCAAACAAAATAGCAAAATTACAAGGGGATTTGAATACCAAACTTGCAAACAGTAGAGTCCCAAACCAACTCAATGAAATCAGAGACAAAATAGATCGCTTTCAAATACCTGCTGAAACAGATCTCAAAAACGCTATGAATGAAGCAGCCAGAAATATCAATGAAAATATCATGAATGAAGCAACAAAAAGTATCAATATAAAGGGTCTTGAAGATCAAATGCAGGGAAATATAAAAAATCTACAATCAAAAATTGATGAAGTCAAAACCATCGTACAAAAGTCGGAGGTCAAGCCTGATTTACTATCTGAACTGGAAGAGCGTGAAAAACGAAAATATAATCTGGTCCTACAGAATGTACCGGAAAGCCTTAAACAGACACCAAGGCAAAGACAGTTAGATGACAACCAGTTGGTGAATGACATAATTGAATACCAGTTATCTATTGAGACTAAAGTTGTGAGATCAATGCGACTAGGAAGACCTAGGGAAGATGGAGAAGCTAGACCACTACAAATCACCTTAGAAGACCAGTACAATAGGAATGAAATCCTCCGAGCTGCTCCTAAACTCCGCAGAAGTGCTCAGTGGGGAACAATCTTCATTTAAGCAGATCTTACTAAATATGAGAGGAAGGTTGCCTTCGAGCTTAGACAGGAATTGAGGAGAAGGGTGAGTAATGGTGAAAGAAATCTAGTCATCAGAGATAACAAGATCATAAGAAGATTCACTACAAATCAGACAAGGGGTCCCCAGAGGAGTCAACCACAAAGAATCCAACAACAGACCTTTATGGTCCCAGATAATGATCCGACCACAGACAATGAAAGCAATATTGAAATCTCAACAGATGAAGATGATACTCTTGAAAGTCAGATCTACCATCACCGCCATTCCGTACAAAGTCCAGAATGTTCACAGATACCACATCACCTCTCCGATAAACCACAACAGGCCATAATAGTTAGCAGTGAAACATTTATTGAAGAACATGAAACTGACAATACCATCCCAGTACCTAGAAGTAAAAACTCTACCCCCAAACAGACACAAATGAATAAAAATACAGAAAGTACATATACAAGACCCGAGAGACAGACAGCACAGCTTAGCTCACCCCAGCTAGTACTAGACTACATACAAGAAAATCCCCAGCCTCCCAAAATAAATCAACACAAAAGTAACGATGAAAACAAACGCCAACGTGCAAACAGAAGGTCAGATTCAATGATAAGACAGCAACACCCTGGGTGGGCCCGTGGGAAGACCCCATCAAACCAGTGACTACCAAAAAACAAAGAAAGAAACAGCAGAACTGTAAATAGTGTAAATAATATGAAACATGTAAATAATGTAAATACAAATGAAAATATGAATACCAATGAAAATAGAGATACCAAAGGAAATTATAACAAAAATACCCACTTGAAGATAATCTACACTAACTGTGACTCCCTATTGAACAAAAGGGATGAACTTTTAATGCTCATAGATGAGCATAATCCAGACATATTGAGTATCACAGAGTTTAAGCCTAAAAATATGAAAAATGAAATCCAAACCTCAGAACTACAAATAGAAGGATACTTAATGTTTGAAAATTTGCAACTGATCAATGGAAGGGGAATCCTGATATATGCCAAACAGCACCTACAACCCACTGAAGTCAAGGAACTCGAGCTAACAAGAGAATCCATATGGCTTGAAATATCTACTAGACGGGGAAAATTAGTATTTGGATGCTTATATAGAAGCCCAAACTCAAACCAAGAAGAATCATATAAACTCTTAGATGAGATTACCCATAAATGTATGATCCAGCCCAAATACCTAATAATTACCGGAGACCTGAACTTACCTTACATTGACTGGGATACAAAAACAGTAAAACAAGGACCATATGCTAACAAGTTGGAAGCTGAGAGACTATTAGCAATAATTGGGGACAACTTTCTCAATCAGCACCAGCTCACACCCACGAGAATGAGAGAGGGCCAAGAACCTAGTATACTAGATGTGATAATCTCGAATGAGGAAAACATAGTCCAGAATAATAAAACACTACCCCCTCTTGGAAAGAGTGACCATGCAACACTTTACTTTGAATTCTCATGTACACCTTTATATGAGCCACAACATAAATCCATCCAACTTCTAGAAAAAGCCAACTATGATGCTATGAAGCAAGATCTGAGTATAAACTGGGACGATGAATTGAAAAACAAGAATGTAGATGACAGCTGGAAGAACTTCAAAGAGAAACTTGAGACTACCTGTAAAAAGAACATCCCAACCTTAACAGCCAGTAAAAACAAAACTCCATGGATGAACAAAAAATGTCTAAAAGCAATTAGAAAGAAACACAAACGATGGAAATTATTCCTGAATTCCAAAGACGGGGAAGACTACTCAAGCTATATTGTATCAAGGAACAGAGCCAAGAAGGAAATACGTATTGCAGTCAGGGACTATGAACGAAAAATCGCAAAAATGGCCAAGAAAAAAAAAAGTATTCTGGAGATATGCAAGTAAGAAAACCACTACTCATGATGGGATACCCCCACTCCAGAAAAAGGATGGGACCCTCACAGCAGATGACAAGGAGAAAGCCGAAGTTCTGAATAGCTTTTTTACAAGTGTTTTTTCCACAGATGAAATGACTGATAGCCCCGTGCTAGACTTTATGTATATAGGATCATATATCCAGAATTGGGAAATTTCTGAAGCAGATGTTGACCTAAGACTTAACAACCTCAAACTTACTTCTTCACCTGGCCCAGATGGTATCAAGGGCCGTATACTCAAAGAACTACATGACGTTGTTAAGCGCCCTCTTTATATCATCTTTTCTAAATCACTCAAGGAAGGAAATATACCCAGAGACTGGAAACAGGCAAATATCACCCCAATCTACAAAAAAGGAGCAAAAAATGAACCAACAAACTATCGCCCCATTAGTCTAACCAGTATTGTATGCAAGATGCTTGAAGGAATAGTTAGAGTAAACCTCCTTAATCACCTCAAGGCAAACAAAATCATATCTTCAACACAGCATGGATTTCTACCCCAAAGATCCTGTATCACTAATTTATTGCAAGTCCTAGAAGCTTGGACCCGTGTTCTCGATGCAGGTGGCACCACAGACTGCATATATTTAGATTTTGCGAAAGCCTTCGATTCCGTGAGTCACGCAAGGCTGCTCACTAAACTTGGACAACTTGGTATTAAGGGAGTTGCTCACAAATGGATTGAAAATTTCCTCACTGACAGATCTCAGAGAGTCTCACTAAATGGAAAAGAGTCATCATGGACCACTGTAACCTCTGGAATTCCTCAACTAAGGAACTGTCCTTGGGCCGATTCTGTTTATTATCTATGTGAACGATATGCCTAATGTCGTGTCAAACAGCAAGATTGCTCTTTTCGCTGACGACACTAAACTGTACAGGGAAGTTAGGAACAAAAATGACACGGATGAACTCCAAAATGACCTCAATACAATACAAGCATGGGCCTCCAAATGGAAACTACAATTCAACCCGAATAAATGTACTGTTTTGAGAGTGGGAAATATGAAACCAGAACCTACCTATAATATGACTGATATACAAAGTGGGAAAAATGTAATACTAAAAAACAGCTGTGTGGAAAGAGATTTAGGTGTCAACATTGACTCAAATTTGAAATTCTCCGAGCATGTGACAATAACTGCAAATAAAGCAAATAAAGTCTTGGGAGTAATAAAGCGAAGCTACAAGTATATTGATGAGGATTCTCTTAAGCTACTCTTTAATGGCCTTGTCCGTCCAATATTGGAGTATGGAAACTCAGTTTGGAGCCCACAGTATAAGAAAGACATTGAAGCCATTGAAAACATACAGAGGAGAGCAACTAGACTTTTACCAAACCTCAGGCAATTAACATACCCCGAAAGACTAGCAACACTTGACATGACAACACTGGCATTTAGGAGGTTACGAGGAGATATGATTGAGCTGTACAAGATCCTGAACAATTTCTATGACATCAGCCCCAAGACTATCTTCCCTCAATTGAACCACATAACAAGGCAGCCAACAAGAGGACACACAATGTACCTGAAACGACAACACTGTAGACTAAACACAAGACAGCATTTCTTTTCCAACAGAGTCATATCACCCTGGAACAAACTGCCTGAATATGTTATTCAAGCAAGAAGTGTTGACCAGTTCAAGAACAAGTTGGATGACCATTGGTACAACCACCCACTGAAATTAGACTGGGAGCACAAGCCTTAAGGGTACATATGCCAAATATGACTTGATGTGTATAACAAATACACACACCTATACAGGCAAAAGGCTACACCAGCCTACAAGCCGGTGCTTATCTTATCTTATCTTATCTGTATCTAGACAATATTGGAAATTATGGTCTTTCAGACCACCATAATTAGGAAATGGTGATCGAAAATCGACCTGTCATTTATTTTTGTCCCCAACTGTAAATGCTCTTTAGTTGACGCAACAAAGGTGATAGGGTTTCATTGAAATGTGTGTTCTAACCTCTAGAGGGTTAGTAAGACTCATAATCTTCAGGTAAATTTTATTTTCAAGTTCTACCGACGCAGTCTTTTCTTTAGACTCGACTGTACACGAATTCTTGTGAGGCAGTTGTGATTATCTGATTAGATCAATAAACACTGATCTTTTTCATGTAAAGTATTGAAGTAACTATTGAACGTACCTTTTGCTTTCTTCATAAAGCCTATTAAAGTCACTTGAACTGGATATTTCAGTAAATACCATGCTTTTTTAACTTTTTTTAAAATTACTTTAAAACCGGAAGTTAGTGCTTGGGTAATGATCTCAGACCGTCAGATACCATTCACGAAATGTGCTGCTACATCAAATCGTGAGGTTAACTACAACCATTTGTGTATTGAAATCTTACGGTTGAAAAAAGCTGGATTAGTCGCTTACAACCTTAAGATTCCAATACTATACAATGCCCACATTTATGGGCCGTACGTAACTTTTGTGAAATCCCTGGACTGTTTTGACTGCAGTACTCAGTTTATAGAAAAACATTGACTTTCGCACGTTGGTGGCGTGACGCCTTTTTACACGCCTTACCATCGCGTAAGCAGGCGTCACCGTACAGCGTCAAAAAATAGCGGAGTACAGTTTTCTGTACGGTAACGCAAATTAACTGCTTTGAAGCAAAAACTTTGACAAGGGTTTAAAAAAATTAATTTGATGAAAACTAATACGATTTCATGTGAAATAAAAACAGCATTCTCTTAGAAATGGTTTTAACTTTCTGATTATGATAAACGTTTTACGAGCACTGTTCGGATTTTTTCTGAGTGAATCGGCCCACATAATCGACCAGAGTGAAAAAAGGTTGTTTTTTCACATTTTGTTTGGTTATTATTTTCCCTACCGTCTGAGAGTATGGATTATTTTTATGAGAATATGTATTTGTTACTTACACATTTTAGAACGGGCGAAGATTCAGCAAACAACCATTCATTATGTATATTTAAAAAAGATCAAATTTGTACGGTGACGCACCAGCTGTACGGTGACGCTATGCTTTGATGAACTAAATGAGACTAAGATTCTATGAAATGGAAACTCTGGAGTATGATCATTTGTTCATATATAGTGCATGGGCGCTACAGTTCAACGATATCTTCCACAGCTTAATGGAAGGTTACTGGAAATGTATGATACGGTAAAGATCATGAAACCAAAAACTCTCTTGTTGCTATGTTATTGATGTTTTAAAACAAGGGATATCACAAGTAAATATCATCTTGCACGTGTGACTTTTTAGGATGAAAGATGCAATATCTTGCATGGGGTAAAGATGGCTATGTAGGCTATCTTTGTTAGTCATATGAGAAAAGCCTGGTTTAGTTCAAATGATACCAAAGCATTACGTCAACTTTCAAATAGTTAATTCCATGAAAACTAAAAATATCGAAATTAATACTTCCTGTCCGCCATCTTAAATGCGAAGGTGACGGCTGTAACCTTCGCTTGATACTTACCAGTGATAATGTACATGTAGATCTGACGCTTCTTTACCTCTTGTTCGAACAGTAAGCTTAGAGCACTTCATAAAATCTAACTGCTAAGGAAGCGTCACCGTACAGCTGATGCGTCACCGTACAGTTCTGATCTTTTTTAAATAAATACACTGAATGATTATTTGCCGAATATTCATCTGTTCTAAAATGTGTAGATAACAAATACATATTCTCATAAAAATAATCCATACTCTCAGACGACAGGGAAAATAATAACCAAAACGAAAAGTGAAAAAAACACAATTTTTCTCTCGAGTCGATTATGTGGGCCGATCCAGTCAGAAAAAATCCGAGCAGTGCTCGAAAATCTTTTATCATAATTAGAAAGTTAAAACCATTCCTAAGAGAATGCTGTTTTTATTACACCCGAAATCGTATTTATTTTCATCTAATTAATCTTTTTAAAACCATCATTATAGTTTTTGCTTCAACTCAGTTAATTTTCGTCACCGTACAGAAAACTGTACTACTGTATTTTTTGACGCTGTACGGTGACGCCTGCTTACGCGATGGTTAGGCGTGTTTTAATAGATCTCATATCTAAGAAGCGTATCAGTTAAAAATATCCTATTATGATTTATTTAAGCGAAGGCAGTTTGCCTGCTGCCATTCAAAACTGGGGGTAGTGCGCCTTGAGGGGGGGGGGGGGGGCATGGGCGTAGCGCTATTTTTGTAAGTAGTACGCCACCACTACGGGAACAAGAGTTGAGTGGATCAAAAAACGAGCATTCAGGGGGGTCTGGGGAAAATTTTGAAATTTGGTTGTATTTGGAGCGAATTTGCAACCATCTGGTACGCCTATGCGTACCCAGCGTACCGGGTGCTACGCCCATGGGGGGGGGTGCTTGGTTACAGGGGGTAGGGGTTACTAACTGTTTTACTAAACCACGCGCTCTTAATTTAGCATTTCTATAGTAAAGTTTGTATGAAAAAATAATTTTCCAGTTTTGTTGAATTTTCTAGCAGAAATCGTTTGCTCCCCTCCTGGAGGAGGAGGAGGGGGGGGGGTAGATTATTTCTCCCCCTCGACGTAATATTTACTTGGTAACATAATAAACATATTAGGAAGATAGTTGTAGGCCCTGGAAATACATGTAACCAGAGACATATAATATTTATTTTATCATATCTGTAACAATTGAGACGGGAGTAGATTCCTGGAGTCATATTCATCTGATTCATGAGCCATATGAATGCGCGTGACGTTCACAGTGGATATTATATATAGCGCGCATACAAAACAAGCGCTAATATTCAGTCTTCTTTGATTTGATCAATTCATTTTGTAATTTCCTACTTTGTGGATAATATCCCCAATAGGGGGTCTTCCACTTCATGTAATTGTAATATCATACAATATAAGGAAATAAATAAATGAATAAAAAATACTTCAAATACCCGATCAGCGATATGCTATTTCACGTCGGTGTCAACGGGAATAATTATACTCATGTCTATTGAATACTATGCAGGCAATTATAGGCTAATTTCGATGCACAGTATAATGCTTTCCGAAGAAAATGATGTTTTAGCTCCAAATATCTTAACGAAACGAGTGAGTGTACGTACAGGTTGACGTTTCGATTTTATATGCACTGCTTAGTGTCCATAAATTCTCCTAGAAATCGTCGCGTAGATTAACCTCCCCAACGTGCAACATTCATATGCATCAGACAGTCGGGTAAATAAAAGATGCGTAAATATTAAGGACACTTAGATGAAATGCAGTTTTTTCAAATTTGCCGATTTAAAACTATAGATGGTCACATTTGTATACTAGTACATGCATGTCAAAGTTCAGACTTTACTTCTTTCTTGTCAAGCATTATTACGATTATGGTTTATATGATCCTTGACATCAATTGTTGTTGAAATAGTCTCTCCTTGTCTAAAACTATTTTCATTACATGCATTTTATTTCAGCCATAGGGTTCAGTTAATCTTAAGCCATCGATGGTCTCCCATTCTTTTGATCCGACAGGATTGATCAGAGATTCATTTTTATGGGAATAAGGCTTTTCTCTTTCTACGCCCGTAAAATACACTTATGTGAACGCAGATACTATATGCAACCGCCGCAGATATTTTCCTGTCGTACACTCCCCTCCATAAGTTTGGCAACCTTTTTTCCCCATTGAACTACGTGTTAAAGCCTCTTTACCTTTGAATTTTTATTTACTTAACCTGCGATGAAAATACTTATACTATTGATGGAAACGTAATTTGACTTTAAGTCCAATACCTCCAAATTTTCTCAATTTTTTTCCTCAATTACAGTAGGTCGAAAATTGATGATGAATTTGATGAATTTTTGAAAATCGACATTTCCATGTTAACCAATGGGAAATGGTAGGTTTGCCGCAAGTCATATGACAGAATATCCATCCATCCGAGTCCTTGCAAAAAATACGAGTTAGGCAGGTAATTGAATTTGCTAACTTTATTTAACAAAAAATTGATATGTTTCTTCAGGTTCAACAAAGTTATAGGGCTTTAAAGTCAAAATTGTTTTTCAAAAAACCTCTCCCATTGAAATAACACAGGAGGCGAAAAATTCTTTTCAAAAATGACTTTGAAGCGCTGTAACTTTAATATTCATCAAATAAACTAAACACTTAGTGTTCAAAAAAGTTAGACAATTCAATTTTCTATATGAAAATATTTTTTGCTGAATCTTTTACTGAAAAGATATCCTGATTTCTGATTTGCCCCGAACCCTCCATTTCCCATTGGATTACATGGGAATGACGATTTTCAAAAATTCATCAAATTTATCATCAATTTTCGACCTATTGTAATTGAGGAAAAAAATTGAGAAAATTTGTAAGTATTGGAAATAAAGTAAAATTACGTTTCCATTAATATTATAAGTTATTTCATCGCCGGTTAAGTAAATAAAAAATCAAACGTAAAGAGGCTTTAACACGTAGTTCAATGGAGAAAAAAGGTTGCCAAACTTATGGAGGGGGTGTACCTCCATGGATTTGATGTTAGCGAGGCATAATGAGTCTTTCTTTACTTTATGACTAAATTGAACAAAAATATTGCATATTTATCATCGGAACTATGAAAATTGGAAAAAAGTACACAAAAAGGTTACTGATTTACCAGAATGACCTATATACGGAAATGGTCTAGACACAGCTAACCTCACATTGGGTATATCATTAACATTCAAATCTAATAAATACATTGATAAAATACATGTAATATGAGTATCAGTGTGATTAGTGGACAGGCTAAGGTTGACCCATACAGTGAACATCGCACGGCTTTAAAATGTTCCAGAGTTTGTCCTATATCATAGTTCTTGCTGCAGTTTACCTCTATTTTACAAAGGAAAAGGCCGAAGACATTAATTCAAAAATACAAGATGTACTAGATGAGGAATATGACTATATTGTAGGTAAGTAAAAAGATAAAGTATGCAATAATGAAGAATGCGAGGAATGCAGTGGTGTGATGTTTCAACCCCTGAACCCTGGAGGTAATTTCGATTATCCTATAAGCAAAAGCTTGAGTAAAAGACTGTTTTCAATCTATTTTAACAGCATTTGGAAAAAAAGTTCCTACTTGCGACATTTTTTCCTATCTATCATACCTTTCAACTATATGAAAGGTATGAACGAAAATTTGATCGGAGGTGGCCGAAGTAGGGGGGTGACAGCTTTTCTTAGTCTTAACGAGACAAGCTTTAAAAATAAACCATCACTGATTAAATTACGTAGGATATCATGAAGCCCTAAATGCAATTGTGTATTCTTTTATCCTGTATGAAACATA